GAAGGATGTTGTGAAACTTGAAAGGGTTCAGAAAAGATTTACAAGGACGTTGCCAGGTTTGGAGAGTTTGAGATAGAGGGAGAGGCTGAATACGCTGGGGCTGTTCTACCTGGAGTGTCAGAGGCTAAGCACTGATCTTAGAGAAGTTTATAAAATCATGAGGGCGCAGATAGGGTGAATAGCCAAGGTCTTTTCCCCAGGCTCGGGGAGTCCAAAACTAGAGGGCATAGGTTTAAGGTGAGAGGGGAAAGATTTAAAAGGAACTTGAGGGGCAACTTTTTCACAGCAGGTGGTGTGTGTATGGAATGAACTGCCAGTGGTGGAGGCTGGTACAATTACAATACTTAAAAGGCATCTGGATGAATAGGTAGGGATGTGGGTCAAATGGGGCTAGATTAATTTAGGATATCTGGTCAGCATGAATGAGGTGGACTGAAGGGTTTGTTTCCATGCTGCACATCAGACTATGGCAAAGCAGCCCACTTTAACTGGCACCAGATCTACTCCCTCCACCACCAACAGTGTGTACTATCTACAAGATGCACTGCAGAAATTCAAAGATCCTTAGACAGCACCTTCCAAATGCAGGACCACTTCCAATTAGAAGGATAAGAGCAGGAGATACATGGGAACACCACCACTTGCAAGTTCCCCTCAAAAAAAAACCTCCCTATCCTAGCTTGGAAATGCATCACTGTGTCGCTCGGTCAAATTTTCTCCCTAAGGGCATTGTGGGACAACCTACAGCATGTGGTCTGAGGGTTCAAGAAGGCAGCTCACCATCACCTTCAAGAGTAATGAATGTTGCCAGTGAGCAACGCCCAAGTCTCTTGAGGGAATAAAAACTTTGGCTTAATGGACTTGCATTTGTTAAACAAACGAAATTCCCCACTTTGCTACACACTGCCACATCTAACTGCAGTTGGTATTCCAGAATCTAGAACCTTGTCAATAAATACAAGGAAAGTTGGATGAAATCAAATGATGAATCTTCAAGGCAAGACTGCAGTTAATTGAGCCACAGTAATCCTCTTGCTCCCTGAGCTGCAGAGACTTGGACAACCTCAGTGATTTTTTTTTTTCCAAAATATTTCTGAACCAATTGTCATCAGGACAGCAAGCACATACTCAATATCCAGCTTGCACACAGCAAGACTCCACAAAAAGGAAATGTACAACTGAAGAAGCTAATTAGTGGTTTTGGCTAAGGAAGGAATATTGAAGTAACTAGGAGAACTATCTACCAGTGGATCCATTTTGACCACCTCTTGTCAATACCTCAAATTAACACTAGACTAATATAGTGCATCCCTTCCTACTTTACGAACAGTAACTTTACACATGCTTGTCTGTGGGCCAATCCTGTCAAGTATCCCAAGTTCAGTGAATATCACCAATGCTGTTTTCCTGTTTTTTTTCAAAAGCGACTGGCAAGTACACTTGGAGGAATTTGGATAATTGGAAGACTTGTTTATGCACATGGTTATTCCACTGGAGGTAAATACTTTGTCCTAAATAACATGTATAAAACAAACTGCTTTCATTTCTGTATTATTTCAAATGTACAAGTTTACTCATCGTCGTCATCATCATCAACAGGACAAGATGACAACTTACACTTTTAGATTTCCTAATAGCTGCACTATTTGGGTTCAACATTAATGGAAACTAAGAGTGGTTTTAAAAAGTTAGCAACTCTCCCAAGTGAAGCTAACTTTTTTAGCAGCACAAGGTTTTAAAAAAATAAAAAAAATCGGCTGAAGAAACAACTTTTACACGATTTTTTTTTAAAAAACAAAAACCAGCATTTTGTCTCCATGAACAGAGTTAGAGGCAGGCAGAAAAATTATAATCTCTCTGAAATGGTCATCCTGGACACTCCCCTCATCTTCATCCAGGTGCATCTGTGTAAAAGTACTGGCTTACCAGAAATACTTGCAGTGTGTTGCCCTCTACTTCAAGCTACAGCTTTATTTTCATGTATTTAATACAATGTCAGTATTTAACATTTTAGTTCTTTTACTAAGACACAGATTCTCCACCTGCACTACCACAACATAGTATAACATTGAGTGGTATTGAGGATCACTCCTTAACCTAGAGAAATGCTACCACAGTGACCTGATTGGAGATGAGTCCATCTTATTGCAGGGTGATGTGACCATCCGCAAGCATAGTGTATGCATTGGAATTCCTTCGGCAGGGGGAAGCACTTAATGATTGTAAATATCCTATGGTTTTACATTCACCCTTATTTCCAAAACTGGACTCTCTGACCTGTCTAATCCTCCTGAGTTTAATAGAGGCAGGTTGGCAATTTAAATATCAAACAGTCTGGCAGCCTCTAAGTTAGTTTTCAATGGGTTTGCTAGGTTTCTTGGGCTTGAAACTTGGAGTATATAGAGGGATGATAGTTATACCACTGGCACCTACAGTGTGTTCTCTGTCCATCCTGGAAGTGGCCTGACCTCAGGATGGGGTGAGACATAGAGAACTTGCACTCTAAATGGGTTTGTGTCTGAAATGCTCCCACATGAGCCATTGTGTATCTACCATGTGTCAAACTGAGGAAGTGTGAAGATATAACCTAGATCCAGGTTGAACAACTTGAAGTGACGACCACTGGTCTTAACCAGTTTCAATCTCTTCCTCTAACTTTCAGTCTCCATCCAATCAGTGGCTTTGCTTCTGTTTCAAGTCTTCAAAAACTAACCAAGTAATTTCGAGTGAGAAATAAAGCCCCTCTGACGTATCATTTAACTCCAATGTGCTATTCTAGTCTGGACCTGATTTAAGGTTTTGCATTGAATTGTGTGCACTTAAAAACCCCACCTTTTCTCAAACACTTCACAACATTGCTTGTATTTTTTTCAGACATGAATATGTCGACTTTCTTTTCTTGAAATACCTTTTCCTGGAAGGGCTACACTAATGTGGAGCATTCCACAGATACTGCAACCACCCAAGTTAAACATAATTTTCTAGTTTCCCAACACACAATCCAACAAAAGATTTAGGTGCTTGTAAGATCTCTTCCTGTGTTTACAGTAGTTTTAAGGGCTCTTCAAGCTTTATTGGGGTGATAGTGTGCTGAATCTGACATGTCAGTAGGATGTGTCAAGGGATTCACAAATATCAGGGTTGATCATCTGTCACATTTTATAATGTTCAACAGCATGTTAAGAAATGCTTTATATTGTGCAATCTTTACTTGAATCAATCTTCTCCTCAAAACCTTTTGTCCTAATAGCAAATGTGCCTGTGAGCCCAAATTGCTTAATTACACGCCTCCTGTGTTGCAAATGATGATTCCCAGGCTTAAAAAGGCACTGTGTAGACTCTGGTAGTTTACTTAAAGTTCTTATGCACCAATTCCCAGTTTGACAACTTGAAGCCTTTTGTGTTTGGTCTTCACAGGATGTTGGTGTTTCTAGGCCAGTGGTTATTGCCTATTTCCAATTGCCTTTATCTAGTAGTGAACTAGTCACACTTCAACATTGAAGCACTTTTGTGATGGATGAGCATCAGGTTAATCTGTAGTTTTTCTTTAAACTAAAATTCATAATTCCTTTTGTGTTCTCTCTTAGATCCTAGTAAGAGAAGATATGGTGACTTTGGTTCAATAGCACTGCTGGGACTCATGGGGACTGCAGTGTCATTTGGATTTCACCAACTGGGATGGCAAAGATCTTGCTATGGGAGACCTATGAAGGTTAATTTATAACCGTGATGAGTGTATACGCTATTAGCAAAATTGCTTGGCAGTAACTTTATCTCTAATAGCAACCAGTTGCTTCTGAAGTTTGTATGCTGAACCTTTTTTATAAAATGAAAATAAAGTTCTTGCATGTGGTAATTGTTTCATTGACTTTGTACAGCAGTACATCCTCCCATACATTACATTTCAGAAAATGTAACAAGTACGTACATGTGTGAATTTTTAATCAACTGCTTTAAACTGAGTATCTCTCCCTATTTATTAAGCAGATGGTTGAACAAGACAAGCTCCAGACTGCTGAAAGAGTGAATTTCAAATATCAGCCATGAGGTTCAATTTTTTTTCCTACCATTTAGTTCTGGAAAGGGCAGAAGTTGAATATGGGAAAATAAGGTTGATTATCAGCTTGGTTCTATTGTAGCATTCTTGCCTGAGTGAGTTTAAAACTTCATCCAAGAACTTGGACTTCTTTAATCCTCAACAGTGCACTAAAACCCCATCTGCCTGCTTTAGTAAACATATAGCATCTCTCCAAGCAGCAGCTCAACAGCACTGTAAAAAGAGCAACAGGTTCTTCAGAAAGTAGTGAAATAAACAAAAGAAATTATGCCAAGATTGACATTTAATAACCAACTCCCACATCTCGCCTAACTTTCAAAAAAGGACGTTGCCGAAGTACTTTGAATTTCTTAACAACTGAAGTCATTGAAAATGGGAACAGCAACCTTAATGAGCATGTTGCATAGAAATATTCATGAAAAGTATACTCATTTTGTCTTGCAAAAAAAAAAATCACTTTTAATAAAAAACGTAAAGGGGTTAGGCTTCAGTTTATGAAGACTTAAACCATGGTTTAAAACAAAACTAAATTAGCTACTTATTTTTGTAGTTTACCTTTCCTGCCATTTGAAAATGGTAAAGTTTCAGATGCTATTCATTGCCAAGCAACACACTAATTTTCTGCCCTTACACCATGAGGTGTATGGTACTATGAACATAATTATGTACAAGTGGCACCAAAATCCAAATTGTTGTATAGCTACATATCTAACTTGGGATTCCCAGTTTAGATTTTAGCAATCAAAATTTACAGTAGATAATGGGTTACCTTCCTTTCAAGCAAGAGAAGGGGCTGAGGCTACAATGACAAATCAGTAGTTTAGGTTAAAACTTCCATCGATACCAAAGTAAAGAAATTGGTCAAAGCATTCTGCTTCAATCCAACCTGAAGTTAGAGCTACTCGTGCAAGAATAAGTTACTACTGAAAACAGTGAAGATATGTTTTGATTTTAAGAAGCAAGGCAATCCAATTTTAATGAAGAACAGGACAGCAAAAATCATTTTACAAGAGGGTCCAGTTATGGTTTGAATGGTGATAGTAAGCTTTCATATTACAGAATAATCAACATCAACAAAGACAGTTTGGACATTTAAATCAGAAACAAGAAAATAAGCCACCACTATTATAAACTAACCTGAAACAACAGGTCGAGTTTAGGCACGAACAGTATTGCAATTTAGAAAGAACATTCTGGATCTCCCATTTCCACATAAACGCTTTTCAGTTGTGTATAATATTCAATTGTCGCTATTCCATTCTCTTTTCCAAACCCTGCAACAGTTGAGATTTCTTTCAGTTATCTGCAAATTTAATTACTCTTTGAGGGGGAAAAAAAGCTCCCCCACTCCCCCCAAGTAACAGAATGGATCGGTACCTGACATTTTATATCCTCCAAAAGGTATTTCAATGGGGGAGACATTGTAGTTGTTTATAAAACATGTCCCTGCCTCAAGAGCGGCTGCCATCCGATGAGCTCGAGTCAAATCTCTGGAAAAAAAAAAGTTACCGCTTCATCAACATTTACAGTAACAAGCAAACATCTCCCACCCCCACCAAAACCATCTCCTTATTTCACAACTGTCCAATAAAAGTAACATTTCTCAATAACTTTTCAGAATTGTTCTGCACTTGAAGGTAGTCAATTTGTAAAAGTTTTTTTTTTGTTTTTCTGCATTGTTGATTGCAGACAGAAATGTGTAAATGGACTTTTAAAAATCAAAAGGATTGTTGCACATTTTTTCCCCAGAAAAGTAAGATACTGACATTCGCTAAGTCCTGTGGCTTTTAATCAAAAAGAGAGAGACTTTTAAGTTGTGAACCAGTCATACTGTTTCCTGCAAGCAAGTAAAAAATGAATAAACAAGAGTAGGCCATTCAGCCCCTTGGCCCTTCTAGCCTACGCCACATTCAATAAGATCACGGCTGATCTGAATTTTACCTCACTTCTATATTCCTGCAAATCCCTGATAATCTTTCATCCATTTGGTCAAAAATAGTCTACCTATCTATTCCTGCCTTAAAAATATTTAAAGATTGTGCATCCACTGCTGTTTGAGGAAGGGATTACAAAGACGCTCAAATGTTCCCTCATCTGTTTTAAATGGGTATCCCCTTATTTTTAAACTACGACCCATAAACTATGACTATAAAGAATGAACATAAAACAAAGAACTGCTGATGGTGGAAATCTGAAACAAACAAAAAACAGAAATTGCTTCAGGGACTCAACAGGTCTGGCAGCATCCCTGCAGAGAAAACCGTTAACGTTTCAAGTTGAGTGGCCCTTTTTCAGAAGATTCTAGAATCGAAATATTACGGTCACTAGACTCAAAATGTTAACTCTGTTAATGGTGATGGTGTTGTGGTATTATCACTAAGCTTGTTAATCCAGAGACCGAGGTAATGTTCTGGGGACGCAGGTTCCAATCCCATTTGTGGCAGATGGTGGAATTTAATTTCAGCTTTTTATGAAATTCAAGCATCTAATGACGACCAAGAAAACAGTGGCGACTGTCAGAATATACCTATCTAGTTCACTAATGCCCTTTGGGGAAGGAAAATATCATCCTTACCTGGTCTGGCTTGCATACAACTCCAGACCCAAGAGATGCGGTTGACTCTTAACTGCCCTCTGGACAATCAGGGATGGACAATAAATGCAGGCAGAGCTAGTGACGCCCACATCCCGTGAATGAACAACAACCAAAAAAAACATTATTCCTAACCTTCTGCGATTTTTCTGCAGCTTGGTTTAGCGACACCCAAACATGGCCACAGAGATCAAAAGGTAACCAAAAGTGAAGTGCATTTTGAACCTGGGCAACTTAAAAGTGAAATCCATGTTCAAATCACTACTAGTGATAAAATTATGAGTCAGGCTCAGGCAAATTGTTCACCATCACTTTGAGCATTCTACTTTATATTGGTGCATTTCAAACAGCATTCAGCCTGAACTCTATGAGCAGTATCTCAACAACTCCCACTGATAATCATAGTATTACTCCTACAAAAAAAACAGTAAGACTCTTCCTGTCCAGTATTTCATTATCATTCCTTCCTATACGTGCACCTATGTTTCAATACAAAAAGTGGGCTCTCTTCTGGTCCTTCAGCGTGCCCGCTCCTCTCAACCAATGGATACTTGCTCGCTCACCCGCATGTTAACCACTCTTCCTCCTCTTTTGGTTAGAGCAGGAACCAAATGTTCACGTGAACCCAAATTTACACTGTCCCCAGCCCCACTTCAAATAATTAGACAGTAAACACTTTGCATGATATTAGGTCAGGCCATTAAACAGCTGGTCCAAATCAGCAAAATCATTAATTTGACCGATTCTATTGCAGCATTTCAAGAGGATGCCATGTTGAGAGCTCAGTTATGTGACAAAATGTCGTGATCAAGGGCTATGATACCAGAGACAGAGACAATCACAGGGAGGGTTTAACCATTTAATTGAGGAAAGAAATATAATTGCCATCCAGCAAGGAAAGCAGCCTTAAAGATCTAAATATCCACAAGCAGAGAGAACAGAGGCTCCATCACATCACACCAGGGGCTGTTTTCCCTGAAATTATTGAGAAACAAAAAAGGTACACACAGCCCTTTAAGCACTAGTATCAATGTTCTGGACTGCATTCTCCTCCAAGGGTATAACCTCTTCACTAGAAAGAACTGCTTAGGAATTAACTCTGGAAATCCATGTGAATGCTCAGTGTGTAGTTCTAGGCATAGTATGGGCAAGCAATCCTATTGCAACTGCCTAACAGTCTGGGCTGATCTCATCAGTAAGCATCACTTAGTGACCAGGATTCAAATTTCTAGTCAATGTTTCTCTTCTCAACCCCTAAAATCACCCTTGTTGAGATCATCTAACTGGGTCCACATTACAGGAAAAACCACAGTAATCCTCAGTAATTATTAAGTGAGCGATCTCCATGAGGGGTACTGTACCTGGTGAACACTCCAGCTGCCAAACCGAGGTCAGTGTTATTCGCTCTCTCTATAACCTCCTCCTCTGTTTCGAATGCCAACACTGACATTACAGGTCCAAATATCTCCTCCTTAACACAGGTCATCTCATCGTTGCAATTTCCTGCATACATAAAAACGATATATCACTACTTATGGATGCCACAGATTCATCTCCAACACGCAACAGGAAAGAAAGTGTTCAACTTCTCCACTGCATTGACCATCTTCCCAGCATCAGACGATTGTTCAATTCAGAGAGGGGCCAGGTGCCCTCAGCCCTAACACCGATTCATGTGCAGGACAGATCTAATGGGGCTTTTTCTCCAAAACATTCCTTCCATCTAACAGTTGTCTGGAAACTTGTAGTCATGATCTGGCACGAAGGTGGTAGTTACAGGTTCGCCATTCAGACCACTGAGTCTGCTCTGCTATTCAATGGGATCGTGGCTGATCTGATAAATCTCAACTCCAATTTCCTGCATTTACCCCATAATCTTTATGCCTTAACTGATTAAAATCTACAACAACCACGAATATACTCAATGACCCAACCTCAATAACTCTTTGTGGTAAAGATTCACTACCCTTCCAGAGAAGAAATTCCTCCTCATTTCTGTCTTAAATGTGTGACCCCTGAGATCATGCCCTCTGCTCCTTGACTCTCCCATTCGGAAAAACAACCTTCCTGCTAACAAACCAAATGGCTGGAATAACATGAGTGGGTATCCAGCCATTTGGGTTACCTTTAGCGTGATCTTATTTTTGATTATTTGTAATTATCTCTCTACCTTCATTTATCGGTTCATTGGTCATCCCTTCACTTGTTATTCAGCTGTTGACACTTTATTCACATCATTTAACACTTTTGATCACCTGCAAAGACTTGCTATTCAGCCTATCCACACACACTTATCATCATAGATATCACAGAATCCCTACAGTGTGGAAACAGGCCCTTTGGTCCAATAAGTCCACACCGATCCTCAAAGCATTCCACCCAGACCCATCCACTTAACCTACACATCTGAACACTACGGGCAATTTAGCACGGTCAATCCACCCAACCTGCACATCTTTGGACCGTGGGAGGAAATCAGAGCACCCGGAGGAAACCCGCGCAGACCACGGGGAGAATGTGCAAACTCCACACAGACAGTCGCCTAAGGGTGGAATTGAACCCAGGTCCCTGGCGCTGTGAGGCAGCAATGCTAACCACTGAGCCACTGGCTTGACAGCAGGAACTCATCACCAACGGATGTAAATCAGTGTACTTCAACCATACAGATCATGTTACAGCATCTCACAACAGAAAAAAAGTCAATCCACCAGGCCTGACAGACACTGGGGAAAATCAATCCTGCTTCAAGTTAGAACATTTCTACATTTGTTTAAAAAAAAGTCTAGTGAAACGATAACACTAGGAATTTTTTAAAAATGAAGGTAATGACAATATTTTTTATAAAGCTTGTGATTTTAAAAGTGATGACATTTTGTTTGGAGGCGTTCATAACTATATATTAACTGATTTAATATATCAGGGGTGGTAGGGTGGTAGGGTGGTAGGGTGGTAGGGTGGTTAGCATGCTGCCTCACAGCACCAGGGATCCAGGTTCAATTCCACCCACTGCCTGGTTTTCCTCCGAGTTTCCTCCCACGGTCCAAAGATGTGCAGGTTAGGTGGACTGGCCATTCTAAATTGCCCATAGTGTGCAGGTTAGGTGGAAATGCAGAGGCATAGTGATAGGGTAGGCAATGGGTCTCGGTGTGATACTCTTCGGAAGGTCTGTGTGGACTTGATGGGCTGAATGGCTTGCATCTACATTATAGGAATTCTATGATTCTGTGGAAAAGACAGATGGTCTTGCGTTTCTATAGCACTTTCATGACCTTAAGGCACCCTGATGCACTTTAGAGACCATGAAGTACTTTCAAAGTATACTGACTTCACAAGGTAGATACGGATAGGTAGTTTTCCCCTTGGAGGACAGTCTAGGGCCAGAAGGTGTAATGATAAAGGAAAGGAGCCACCCATTTAAGACTGAGATCAGGAGGAATTTCTTCTCAGAAGATAACTAATCTGAGGAATTCTCTATCACAGATGGGATACAGAGCAGCTAATTTTGACACAGCAAGATTCCGAAATCAGCTAATCAATGCTAAATGACCAGATAATCTTTTTTAAAAGTGATCTAGTTGAGGGTTAAACATGGCTTGCTTTTGAAGAGGAGCACTTAATGTGTGCTGCCACATTCATTAGCCACGGCTAACACACAAAAGGACTGCAAATAACTGCAGACCTGACGATGCTGGGTTACATCAGAAATCCACCCCACAATTGCAGCTTGCTTCAAGTAACTGCCAACCTGCTTATCAATTACTCCCAGAATTAAGACTTTATGAGGTAAACTATTCCCCAGACAGAGATAGTAGGAACTGCAGATGCTGGAAAATCTGAGATAACAAGGTGTAGAGCTGGATGAACACAGCAGGCCAAGCAGCATCATAGGAGCAGGAAGGCTGACATTTCGGGCTAGGCATCCTACTGGAAAAATCATTGTTGTCCTAAGGCAAGGTCCTGTGACCTGAAACTTCCCTTAGCATAAAGGCCTTCAGACAGACTTGACACTCTTTCTCTCAGGCAACTAGGGATGGACAATAAATAGCACAGCTTGCTAACAATACCTGTAATTCAAACTGGTTCTGAATCATTATAGTGAGACAGAGCTTGGTCATTGTCGAGGTGAGAATTTATGTAAAATGCTCATCTAAAGATGCTGATTAAAAAGACTCACAGACACTCCACATTAGTAGAGCCTTTGAAACATGGTCAAAAGCAATACAGAATTAAGCAATTTATTGCTGTTTCAATTGAACTAAATCAGTTGCGAAGACTTACTGATGGCATTTTTAAAATACATTCTTTCCCAGCATGTTGGCATCACTGGCTAGGCCAACATTTATTGTCCATCCTCAATTGCCTTCAAGAAGGTGAAAGTTCACCTCCTCTTCAAAGCTACAGTCCACCTTATCTAGTATTGTTGGGAATGCATTTCCAGGATTTTGATCCTGTAACAAACAAAGAAAGCTATACAGTTCCACTCAGGATGATGTGGGGCTTTGATATAACCAGGCTGTGGTGGTGTTCCAATGGATTTGCTACCCTGGTCCTTCATGGCAGAGGTCACAGGTTTGGAAGGTGCAATCGAATGAACCTGGATGAGTTGTTCCAGTGCACCTTCTATATGGCGCACACTGTGAGGGAATGAAGGTTTAAGGTAGTGAATGGCATGTCAGAAGCAAGGGCTGCTCAAGTGTCGCTGGAGCGGCACTCGTCCAGACAAGTGCAGAGTACCTATTCACAGTAGTGACTTGTGCCCTGTCGATGTGGACTTGAGGAGTGAGGAGGTGTGTTTCTTGCTGCAAGGTCCCTAGCCTCTTGTAGCCACAGCATTAATATGGAAAGAGCAGTTCAAGTGTCTGGTCAATGGTACCTCTCCATGATGGCGATATGGAACAAAAAAAGCCACGGCTGATCCTGATATACATGGTCTAGGTAGTGCAGCATTTTCTAAATGAGATGTCAGGAATTGGTATATGCAACACTAAATTCACCAAAAAGTTAGAGACAACAACCTACTGAAGGAAGTGGCTTTTTGTAGTGAGATGTACATACTGTTGGACAGCAGACCGGCTGCAACTTTAAATATTCTACATACATTCCATCCTTGGAAAGAGAACAATTTCACTTATGTATAACGGTTGAACAATTGCACCTTACGCATTCGTAGTGTATTGATATTGTCAAGGATGTCAAAAATATCACTTTACACCAATTAAGATTAAATATTTTAAAAATTATCTTCTATCAAGCTTAAATCGCATTTGATGTTTCAAGTGTGGCATTAGGCAACAATACCCAGAATACAAGGTTTCACGAAATATCCATCTTTCAATTTCGGATCATTAGGAACAAAACGATCTCCACCACAAAGAACAGCTGCACCCTGTAAACAAGGATCATAATCACATTAGTTATTCAAATACAACAGTAACAATGTGTACTTCCTCACTCGCAACGTCTTTGCATAGATGTGGAAAATGACACCCTGCTCATTGGGCATAGGAAGGAATTACAAGGAGAAACGGGGCAGAGAGGCACTCTGAATTGCTCAGACAAACAGTGCAGACACAATGGGCCAAATGACCTCCTTGTGAGCTGGAGACCTTCTGTGACCTTGATTTCCCTAATCTAAGAAGGGCAGGTTTTAAAAAAGCAGCGTGGAAAAAGCTGACAGTAAATTCCAAAGGACCATAATTTGAGAAAGAACATTTGCCAGGAAGGGAGCAAGAGAGTGCAGGGAAGGTGTTTGATGAACAGAGGTTGTGTACAGCAAGGCAACATGGAGGAGATCCTAAATGGGCTTAGGGAGAAACCATGTAGAAATTTGCCAGGAGGTACAAAAATTCAGAAATTTACAGCTAAAGCAGTAAAGCTCAAACCAGACAGGATGATGATAATATTGAATGGAGTTTAAGTGAACGTGGACTACGATGCATTAAATGAGTTGAAGCTCAAAGCTGAAGATACCTAGAAGAGGCAGTGGCGAAGCTAAACACGGACAACATGAAATGATTAGGACTTTGATATCTGATGGGATAATCCAAAACTCAGATAGGCAACAGGGCAGGTTATGGAGAAAAAGTCACTTCTGTGTGGAACACATGGTCAAGCAAGTTCACTCTCCAAGCCACTCACCACCTTTACTTGGAAATATATTACCGTTCCTTCAGTGTCACTGGATGAAGTCCTGGAATTCACTCCCTAAAATAACCCTGAGTCTATCTACACCAAAAATGTTGTGGCAGTACCAGAAGGCAGCTTGCCACCACTTCTCAAGGGCAACTAAACATGGTAATAAATGCTCGCCCAGCCGGCGATGCCCAATTCCCACGAATGAATAAAATTTAGGAGGAGATGTAAGATTGAAGGCAGCCGACATTAATCCAACACATCATCATTTTCGTCTGTTACTTTAATTTATAACGTGGTGAGGAGCTCTAATACAGATCTCCAATGCAGTGCTCAAACTAAAACGATGTCAGGCCACAGCAGTCTCCCCAGGAGCTTGCGTTGTTTCAGACCAGACCCCTGTCCCGAATTCATGTAACAAACGATGTGTATATTTACGGTTAATGAAAATAATTAGTGTAGCAAATTTAGCCCAACCAAAACATTGGGATACCTGTTCCTTGGCTTGCTTCACATAAGACAACACTCGGTCCATGTGTGGGCGACTGATGAGCCCTCCCATTTGCGTATCTTCGAGCAGTGGATCCCCAACTTTTATTGCTTTTGTCTTTGCCACCACTTTTTCCACAAACTTGGACATTATATCTTTCTGTACAAACACCCTGGTGCCATTGCTGCACACCTGAAAACAAAAACAAAACAGTATATCACCAGACATGTTTACCTCAAATAATTATTTGTACACAACAGATGATCAACATGAAGAAAAACAGAAGTTGCTGGAAAAGCTCAGCAGGTCTGGCAGCATCAGTGAAGAAAACTTCAGAGTTAACGTTTCAGGTACTGTGACCCTTCCTCACAGCGACGTGAAGTGTCAGCTGTGGTTCAATTGTAGCATTGTCATCGGAGGCAGAAAATCACACTTTGTAATCTCAGAGCCAGAATTCAGCTCATTCAAAGTTCAACTTGCTTCTCAGCTGTAAGTTCAGAAGGAAAGTGAGGAAAGAAATGAGAAGCAAAAAGGGTGAGAGAAGAGACTGGCAGCTAAACCAAGAGAATCCAACTGGGGTTCTACAAGTATGAGAAGGTGATGGAGGAGGAACAGAGCCAATTAGGAACCAAAATAGGGGTCAATACACGAATGCAGAGAACCACTAAATGAATATTCAGAATCTATCTTTGCCAAGGAAGATGCAGCCAAAGTCATTGCAACAGCCGATGCCTATTTTCGTTCATTCACTCACAGGATGTCACAGCGTCTCTGGCTAGGTCAGCTTTTTTTTTAATTTATTCATTTTGTGGGATGTGTCAGCTTTTCTTGCTCATCTCTACAGTTGCCCTTGAGAAGGTGGTGGTGAGTTGCTTTCTTGAACCGCTGCAGTCCACCTGCTGTGGGTTGACCCACAATGCCCTTAGGGAGGGAATTCCAGGATTTTGACACAGCGACCATGAAGTAGTGCCAATATATTTCCAAGTCAGGATGGCGAGTTACTTGGAGGGGAACATGGAGGTGGTGGTGTTCCCATATACCTGCTGCCCATGTCCTTCTAGATGGAAGTGGTCATAGGTTTGGAAGGTGCTGTCTGAAGATCTTTGGTGAATTTCTGCAGTGCATTTTGTAGATAGTACACACTGCTGCTGCTGAGCGTCGGTGGTGGAGGGAGTGGATGCTTGTGGATGTAGTGCCAATCAAGCAGGCTGCTTTGTCCTGGATAGTGTCAAGCTTCGAGTGTTGTTGAGGCTGCACTCATCCAGGCAAGTGGGGAGTATTCCATCACACTCCTGACTTGTGCCTTGTAGATGGTGGACAGGCATTGAGGAGTTAGGAGGGGTTGTTAGTCACTGCAGTATTCCTAGCTTCTGACCCACTCTCATAGCCACTGTGTTTACGTGGTGAGTCCAGTTGAGTTTCTGATCAATGGTAACCCCTAGGATGTCGATGGATTCAGTGATGGTAATACCATTGAATGTCAAAGGGTGGTGGTTAGATTGTCTCTTATTGATGATGCATAGCCTGGAATTTGTGTGGCACCAATGTTACTTGCCACTTGTCAGCCCAGGCCTCACTTTGTCCAGATCTTGCTGCATTTGGACACGGAGTGTCTGAGGAGTCGCGAATGGTGCTGAACATTGTGCAATCATCGGTGAACATCCCCACCTCTGACCTTATGAAGAAGTGAAGGTCATTGACGAAGCAGCTGAAGATGGTTGGGCCGAGGACACCACCCTGAGGAACTCCTGCAGAGACGTCCTGGAGCTGAGATGACTGACCTCCAACAACCATGACCATCTTCCTATGCGTCAGGTATGACTCCAACCACCGGAGAGTTTGCCCCCTGATACCCATTGATTCCAGTTTTGCTAGGGCTCCTTGATGCTAAACTCAAACTCAGCCGAATGCTGCCTTGATGTCAAGGGCTGTCACTCTCACCTCACCTTTGAAATTCAGCTTTTTGTCCATGTTTGAACTAAGGCTGTAATGACATCAAGAGCTCAGTGGCCCTGGCGGAACCCAAACTGGGCGTCACTGAGCAGGTTATTGCTGAGTAAGTGTTGCTTGATAGCACTGTTGATGACACCTTCCATCACTTTACTGATGATCGAGAGGGGAACTGATGGAGCGGTAATTGGCCAGGTTGGATTTGTCCTGCTTTTTATGTACAGGATGTACCTGGGTAATTTTCCATATTGGTCGGGTAGATATCAGTGTTGTAATTGTACTGGAACAGCTTGGCTAGGAGAGTGACAAGTTCTGGAGCACAAGTCTTCAGTAATATTGCCGGAATGTTGTCAGGGCCTGTAGCCTTTACAGGATCCAGTGAATCAAATTGGCTGAAGACTGGTATCTGTAATGCTGGGGACCACTGGAAGAAGCCGAGGTGGATCATCCACTCTGCACTTCTGGCTGAAGATTTCTGCGAATGCTTCACACATATCTTTTGCACTGATGTGCTAGGCTCTTCCATCATTGAGGATGGGAATATTTGTGGAGCCTCCTCCTCCAGTGAGTTGTTTGATCGTCCATCACCATTTACGACTGGATGTGGCAGGACTGCAGAGCTTAGATCTGATCCGTTGCTTGTGGGATCTCTCTGCTCTGTCTATCACTTGCTGCTTTCGCTGTTTGGCGTGCAAGTAGTCCTGTTTGGTGGCTTCACCAGGCTGATAGCTCATCTTCAGGTATCCCTGGTGCTGCTCCTGGCATGCCCTCCTGCACTCTCCATTGAACCAGGGTTGATGGTAATGGTTGAGTGGGGTATATGCTGGGCCATGAGGTTACAGATTGTGCTGAAGTACAATTCTGTTGCTGATGATGGCCCACAGTGCCTCATGGATGCCCAGTTTTGAGTTGCTAGATCTGTGCAAAGTCTGTCCTATTTAGCACGGTGACAGTGCCACACAACTCAATGGAGGTTGTTTTCAATGTGAAGGCAGGACTTTGTCTCTACAAGGACTGTGCAGTGGTCGATACTGTCATAGACAAATGCATCTGCAGCTGGCAGACTGGTAAGGATGAGGTAAGGTATTTTTTTTTCCCCTCACCACCTGCCGCTGACCCAGTCTAGCAGCTATGTCCTTTAGGGCCCGACCAGCTCAATCTGTAGTACTGCTGCTGAGCAACCCTTGGTGGTGGACATTGAAATCCCCCACCCAGAGTACATTTTGTGCCCTTACCATCCTCAATGCTTCCTCAAAATGCTGTTCAACATGGAGGAGTACAGATTCCTCAGCCGAGGGAGGATGGTACACAGTAATCAGTAGGAGGTTTCCTTTCAGAGGGCAATGGAGAGTCAACCACATTGCAGTGGGTCTAGAGTCACATGTAGGCCAGACCAGGTGAGGATAGTAGATTTCCTTCCCTAAAGGACATTAAGCGAACCAAATGGGTTTTTCTGACAGTCAACAATGATTTCACAGTCATGAACAGATTCTTAATTCCAGATTTTTCTTTAATCATTGATTTCAAATTCCACCATCTGCTGTGATGGGATTTGAACCTGGGGCTGCCAAAACATCATCTGGGTCTCTGGATTAATAACAATAATACCACCAGGCCGTCGCCTTCGCATGAGATTTATTGCCCATCCCTAATTCTCCAGAGGGCAGTTAAGAGTCAACCACATTGCTGTGGGTCTGGAGTCACATGTAGTCCAAACCAGGTAAGGATGACATTTCCTTCCTTGACGAAAATTAGTGAACCAGAAGGGTTTTCCCAACAATCAGCAGTGATTTCATGGTTGTCATTTGACCCCTAATTCCAGATTCTTTTACTGAATTCAAATTCCACCATCTGCTGTGATGGGATTTGAACCCAGGTCCGCCAGAACACTATCTAGGTCTCTGGATTATTAGTCTAGTGATCATACCACTGAGTTATTGCCTCCCCATCGCTGACATACTGTTTGCGTAAAAATTGATAGTCTTTGGATAAGGTGGTGGTGCTTAAAGTTGGCAACTCACATGGGTTGGAACGAACAAGGGAGGAAATTTCAGAGGCACTGATGATAATCTTTCAGCCGTCCTCGAATACAGGCACAGGGGGTGGGGCGGTTTGGAATTGAGAACTTTCAGATGTTACACTCTTCTTCAAAGAGGGTGCAGGGAAAGCCTCAGACGTTACAGGCCAGTCAGGTTCACTCCAGCGGTGGGAAAGCTTTCAGAGCAGAGAATCTGGGACAAAATTCAATACATTTGGATAAATGTGAATTAATTAAGGAAAGGCAGCACAGATTTGTGAACTAACTTGATTGTGTTTTCTGATGAGGAACAGAGGGGGTTGATTTGGGGTATTGCAGTTGATGTGAAGGACATGGATTTCCAAAATGCTTTTGAAGAAGGCAAAAAAAATATATAATTTGCTAAACAGGCTAAGGGGCAGTGATAACATGGATATAAAACTTGGTTGAGTGACAGGAAACAGAAATGCTGAACCAATGTTTGACAGACAAGAGGAGTGTGTAGAGTCGGGTGTCCAGGGGTAAGTACTAGGATAATTGATTTTCTGGATCTATGCTATTGACCTAGACTTCAGCGCGGAAGACATAATATCAAAGTTCACAAAACCTGCAAGTATTATCAACAATAAGGAGGATAGTAACATACTTCAAGAGAATACAGACAGGGTGGTGGTATGGGTAGACATATCGAGTCATACAGTCACAGAGCTGTACATCATGGAAACTGACTCTTTAGTCCAACTCGTCTATGCCAACCAGATATCCCAAATTAATCTAGCCCCATTGCCGGCATTTGGTCTATATTGCTCTAAACCCTTCCAATTCATACACCCATCCAGGTACCTTTTAAATGTTCTAATTGTACGAGCCTCCACCACTTCCTCTGGCAGTTCATTCCATACACACACCACCCTCTGCGTGAAAAAGTTGCGCCTTAGGTCCCTTTTAAATCTATGCCGTCTAGTTTTGGACTCTCCCACCTAGGGAAAAGACCTTGGTTATTCACCTCATCCATGCCCCTCATGATTTTATAAACCTCCATAAAGGTCACCCCTCAGCCTCTGGGGCTCCAGGGAAAATAACCCCAGCCTATTCAGCCTCTCCCTATAGCTCAAACCCTCCAACCCTGGCAACAACCTTGTAAATCTATTCTGAACCCTTTCAAGGTTCACAACATCCTTCCTATAGCAGGGTGAGCAGAATTGCACACCGTATTCCAAAAGTGAGCGGTTAGATTTAATCAGAGAATTGTGAAGTGACTTATTTAAGCAGAAAGAAATGAGGAAAGGCCAGTGGTGAAGGTCTGAAAATCACAGAATCCTTATAGTGTAGAAGCAGGCTATTCAGCCCATCGGGTCCACACCCACCATCCGAGTAGTATCCCCATGAGGGGCCTTTGGGAGTGGGTGAGGGATATGAGTTGGCAATGTGAGTGGGGAAAGATGAGGGCTAGAGGGCCCAAAATGCAAGCAAATAAATGGATACATGCCCAGAGAACGGAGGTGGGTCTTTTAAACAAGATGGTAGCCAGCCACATTTGTGGCCACTTCTGATCTGCTTCTGGAGGGGTGTCAGGCACAAATCCATTCCACACCCACACCACTGACGGCAACACAGAGTCTGATGGGCCATTTTCTATCGAGGGTCCCAACTCCAGCTACCTGTCGCAAAGGCAAAAAAAAAAAATCCGGGCCTTAAACGTTCGATGTCGGAGCGCCGAGTACTACCACCAAAACAAAGCTCTTTGCTCACAAAAAGGACAGAACGTTGCCGACATACGTTGAAAACGAACGACAGAGCGTTTCGCTCAGAATTGATAGAAGAAACCGAGGGTTTGCTGGTCACCCTGTGGACAGGGCAGGAAATTGAAATGGTTTAAAGAAAAAGAACCGGCAGCTGATACGAAGATCATAGAGGGGTGGTTTCCATACCTCTCCCTGGCTGAGAAAGTTCGCCAGCATTGCACCTGTCACAGCATTCTCCAAATGGCAATCAGAGAAAATGACGAGCGGAGATTTCCCTCCAAGTTCGAGAGTGACATGCTTGACGCTTTTTGCTGCCGTTTCCATGATCTAGAGAGTTGAATCACAGACAGAATATTTGTCCAACGCTTTGCACATTTGGGATCTGGAGCTTCCAGAAAATTCCAAAATGAAACACCTATTGAGAGTTTTCCCACAGAATAATTCCACTAATGTCACTTAATAAGCATTGAGAATCTACACTTAAATGCTGCACGCTGTCTCGCGGAGGCCTGTTTTACAGCATCGACACGCAGCAAATTGCTGTTTGATTAGACAAACACAACAGTTATTTTATGCCTGAAGTCAAAACCCATAAATGAAAGGAAACTGATCAGACCATATGGGGAGAATGACAACAGAACATGGAACCTCTCCCAGCTTATTCAAAGAGGATGACAGCCTAATTTGAGCCAGCCCCTGCCTTTGCTGCTGGCACCTACCCACATAATTCCCATCCTGGAACCAGGATCCTGCCACCCAGTGTCTGTCACTCAGCCATGGGATCCAACAATGAACTTGGGTCTCAAGCGAGGGGTGCTTGTACCTTCAAGGTGACACTACCGGTCTCCAATCAGGTGGAGAGTCTGTCCCCACCCAACCCCATCTCTTGATAGATGGTGAGAAGGTGTCCAGCGCACCCCTTAAAGTTAACCCTTACCTTTCCTTCCCAGACTACATTGACACTGCTCTGAAACTGACCATTCAAACCTGCATGATAAGTAGCCGATCTTCCAAGCTAGGATTGATTGCGGGGCTCACATACTGGAGGCATTGCGTGGTGGAACGAGGCTTTTGCCCATGATTCTCTTCATTTTCCTGAGGTACTCTAGATACACAGTTGTACAGAGGTATCCAACTGACATCTCATGCTCCATCCCAAATGAATGAAGCTCAATCCCAAGAGGCTTGATTAAATTAAGAGCAGCTCTGTAAATTCAACAAAACATTTCCACACTGTTTTCCCCTGTAGCCCCAACCATGAAGTTACCTTGATTCCAGTAGGCACGCTACCAGTGAAAGAAACCTTTGCCACACCTCGGTGTTTACACAGGAGATTTCCGGTCTCTACAGCCCCTTGAAGCACATTGAACAACCCATTCGGAGCCCCAGCTTGTGTGTAGATCTCAGCAAGCATCACGGCAGTCAGAGGAGTCAAAGGTGAAGGCTTGAAAATCATGGCATTTCCTGTTTGGAGAGGAGATAGGAAAAATAATATTTTAAGATAATTTTCCTTCTGAACACAAAGACTTTCTTTCCTCCCTCTTGGCTCATAACACCCAGAGATAAAAGCAAGACACATGGTGCTAACTTGGTGACAAATACTCACTTGTCAGTATCAGCTGCGATGCTTAATCATACTTGGGCCAAAGGGGATACACTTATCTGCTACATTGTGATCTTACAAGACCTATTATTGCGAAGGGAATGCAACTAAATTGTATGTCACAAAGATACCAATATCTTCCTCAGAACATAAGTCTTTTCTCAGAGACACACAATTCAGAACCATTACACTGCAGGCTTTAATGAACACTGGTATGCAACTTCTAACTCACCTAACTCCCTGACCAGATAATAATTGACTCTGCTTGGCCAGAGACTATTAAATGAATTTAATTTAATTTTGTTTTAGATAAAGATTGGAACATATACATGTGGTGAAGATAGAAGCTGAGATATTCAGAAAAATACTTTAAAATGTAAAAATTAGCTTAAAAAGACTGCTAATGACTTCATCGAGGGAGTGTACAATAATGGTCAAAAATCAAACATGCTTCTGAAATAAATGGTGCAAACTTTTAAAAAAATCATCTCAGCTGAACTTTTATTCTGGTGTCATGATGAGTAGAAGGAAGAAACTCTCTTTTCAGAAGACAGATGTATTTGCTACACTATACACACCATATTTTAAGTTATATGTTGTGACAAGTTTGGGATGCATTTTGCAAGGTGGATGAGATTTTATTTCTCCCTTAGGCCTAGTTTGTTTTTTTTGCTCACATTTTATTAGTCACATTTGCATTAAAAGCCCAGATACAGCAAAGTGACCAACATGCAACTTTTTAATGTTTTTTGAACAGTGATGAACAAATTCTCAACGATTTAAATGATTGCCAACTCTGGGGGATTGCAGGTTGTAGTATCAGCACACTGACTGACAAATTGCAACATCATGATTTTCATTCTAATACACAGAGGCCCAAAGTCCGAAAATTGCAGCCAGTTTCTGAATGGTTAATGCTGACAGTTTGCGTTCCAGTCCGGCATGCACTAGCCCCATGCAAAATTCAGCTCAATGTTTGCAGGGTGTAAATAATATATATATCCTCAAAGCAAAGTTTCCTTCTTTGTACCACAAACATCACTGTGAAAGCTCCACTAGTGGGCAGCACGGTGCCTCCATGATTAGCATGGCTGCCTCACAGCGCCAGGGACCCAGATTCGATTCCAGCCTCGGACAACCGTCTGTGTGGAGTTTGCACATTCTCCCAGTGTCTGCGTGGGTTTCCTCCAGGTGCTCCGGTTTCCTCCCACAGTCCAAAGATGTGCAGGTTAGGTGGATTGGCCATGCTAAAATGCCCATATAGTGTCTAGTCTGGGTGGATTAGCCACGGGTGATGCAGGGTTACCGGGATAGGGTAAGGGGGTGGGAATCTTGATGGGATGCTCTTCGGAGGGTCAGTGTGGAATTAGTGGGCCAAATGGCCTGCTTCCACAATAAGGGATTCTATGGTTCTATTCTATGAAAGTATACTTTATACAAAATTTACATATCATTCTTTATTTGCATGTGTTCGATTTCTGACAATTAATTTAAACTCAAGCAAAGCACAGCACAAAGGCGAAAAAAAGCAATTTATTTGCAGTCTGGTGCTTGAAGCTACCTAGAACAAAGCCACAGATGCATGTAGTGGCAGACACAACTCTAGGCTGAAGAAATTACTCCAAATATTACATCATACTGCACACATCAGTCCACAATCTGATACTGGATTTGCACTTATATCCAACTGCAAGAACTTTATAAATAGGATAGATTTGAAGTAACAAAAATGTTGGCTAAAAGCACTCTGCCTTGTGGCAATCATACAATTGTCTTGTTCATGTATCAACCAAAAAAAAAGGTTATTTCCAGAAACAGCTGGAAATTAAATGCTGTTAACTGCTTGATTGGTTTTCCACAATCAGCATCAAAGCTATGCTAGTGGACAAGAACTACCAGGGAGTAATCAATCATATAAATTTACAAGAAAAAGAAACACACAGGTTAAAAACTGTTCAAAATTAATCCCACACTCATGATGTCTGCAGCACCAAGTCTAGACATCACCAACACACACATCCATACCACCCAGCAGCAAGAGACCTCTTTCACAAAGGCAAAAAACTCAATGGCAAAATGGGAGACAAGTTTTGGAAAATTCCTCTCCAACATTTTGAGGTGATCAAGAACCTGGTTTAATTTAATCTTACATAAAATTAAGATGGGACATACACATGGTGAAGATAGAAGCTAAGATATTCTGAAAAACACCTCTCTTTGGAATGTAAAAATTAACTTAAAAAGATTACTGGTTAATCATTTAAAGGAAGCATGAAAAACATAGTCGAAAGTCAAATATGCTTCTGAAATAAATGGTGCAAACTTTAAAAAAAAATCATCAGTCAAACTTTTATTGTGGTGTCATGATGAGTCGAATGGAAACTTTGTTTTAGCAAGTTGAATGTATTTTATACACTATATAATATATCTTGGGACAAACTTGGGCTAAGAGGAGAACAAAGACAATATGCATGTTAACTGATCAAAATGGATCTCTTTTATATAAAGAAGTTAGAACATATTTTTGTCACAAGATGAAAGCACAACACATGTTCTCACCACAAGCCAGAGCTGGAGCTGACTTCCAGCAGGCTATCTGGAATGGGTAGTTCCAAGCCCCAATGCCCACACACACACCAAGCGGCTCTCTCCTTGTGTAAGCAAATGATCCTCCAGGGAGCTGAATGTGTTGGCCTGCGCACAGAGATAAACGAAAGAGACTTAGTGCTAGATTCAGGATACGTACAATTGGTCCCAGAGAAAATGAACAACAGAGACTGAGGGAACGATGTGGCAGGGCCATTCAGGTCAGGAATTCCCCAGGAGTACAAGCCAGTCAGTCCTTCATTTCAAGTACTAGCTTCCTCAGTACAAGGAGGAGGTCAGTAAAGATCAATAAACTCGTGCACAGTTCTGCCAATGAACTAAACAGATCATCATCCATGCAGTCAAGCACTGAACCCATTGTCAACTAGACAAGATGGTCCTGAACATGTTGGCTGCTAATATTTTGACATCACTTTAGGGGTCCTTGATTTTAATTTCCATCTTATTAAGTTACTGAACATCGACACTGGGGTTACAAACAGACAGTAAATGTTCAAGTTATACCCTGTACAGCTGTTAATCTTGCAAACAGATGTAATGACTAATAACATAAGGCTCGTAATTCTATTATCAGTCCATCAAATAATATTTGATGTATGATTTATGACATGAAATAGAATTCCAATATTTTCCCATGATACAACATAAGTGTTCAGCATTTTCACATATTTGCGGATTTGACAGAATATTTGTGCAACAAGGAATAGATAGACAGTGGAAAACTCTGCAACAAAAGTATAAACTCTCCAAGAAAATTAGGGCAGCACGGTGGCTCAGTAGTTAGCACTGCTGCCTCACAGCATCAGGGACCCTGGTTCGATTCTGCCCTCGGACGACTGCCTGTGTGGAGTTTGCACATTCTCCCCATGTCTGCTTGGGTTTCCTCCAGTTTCCTCCCACATTCCAAAGATGTGCAGGTGAGGTAGATTGGCCATGCTAAATTACCCCGTAGTGTTCAGGGATGTGGAGATTAGGTGGGTTGTAGGAGGATGGATGTGGGTGGGATGCTCTGAGAATTGGTGTGGACATGTTGGGCTGAAGGGCCTGTTTCCACATTGTAGGGATTCTAAAATACCAGGGTTTTTTTTGGGTGATGAGTCAGAGAGAGATTTGTTGCCTCATGAAAGCTGTTTCATGATTCCACCTACAATTGGGAAGGGAATCGATTAGCTCAGATGGCTAGATGGCTGGATGGCTGGTTTGCAATGCAGAGGCTTGCTGACCTGCGGGTTAAACCACCACCAGTCTTCTCTCTCTAATGATACAGTGGGTCTACAGTCTCCAAAGACTATAGTGACCTTATTCTTCTGGTCCTAAACTCTCCCACAATGTGAAAGCACCAGCCCTGCCAAGCCCCTCAACAATCTTGCATATTTCCACTCACTCTCATTCTTCTAAATTGCAACAAATACAAGCCAACCTACTCAACCTGTTTTTGGAAGAAAATCCTTCCTCAACTGACAAAAATGTAATAAAGAGGGCAGCACAGAGGCTCAGTGGTTAGCACTGCTACCTCTCAGTGCCAGGGACTTGGGTTCGATTTCAGCCTCAGGTGGCTGTCTTTGCAGAGTTTGTACATCACCCCCAAGTCTACATAGTTTTCCTCTAGTGCTCTGCTTTCTTCCCACAGTCCAAAAGATGTGCAGGTTAAGGTGGTTAACTCATGGGAAATGCAAGGTTACTGGGATGGGATAGCGGGTGTAGATCTGGCAGGATGCTCTTCAGAGGGTTGGTGTGGACTCGATGGGCCGAATGGTCTGTTTCCACACTGTAGGGATTCTATGGACCTTCTCTGGACTGCTTTCAATATCAGTATATCTTTCCTTAGCTAAAGGGGAATAAAACTGTTCACAATATTCCAAGAGGAATCTGACAACTGTTTTTGCAAGACTTCCCTATTTTTATACGCTATATTCCCTTTGAACTAAAGGCTAACATTCCATTTGCCTTCCCGATCATGCACTGAACTTGACTGCTAACTTTTTGTGACTCATGCACACAGATCCCAAAATACCACTGCGCTGCAGATCTCTGCAATCTCTCCCCATGTAAAATAATATTCAGCTCCTCTAATCTCCTTGCTAAAATGCATCACCTCACATCTTCTCCACCTTGCAGTCGATCTGCCAAACTTTCACCACTCGCTTAACCTGTCTATAGCTCTCTGTAGACTACGTCTCATCATCACTACTTGCCTTCCCATCTGTTAATGTATTTTCTGCAAATTTGATGATAGCACATAGACTTCTGTCATCCAAGCTATTTATATTGTAAAAACTTTTGGCCTCAGCACTGATCTCTATGGCACACAACTGGTTCCAGCTCTTGAAAGTGCCCCTTTTATTCTAATTCTCTGTCTTCTAATAGTTAGACAATCCCTTAGAACTTTGATGCATAGCCAAAATATTACAGCCAGATCATCCAGTGGTGAAACTAAGAAATATTTCTACAGACTAAGAGTATTGACTCTTATCGAAGGAAGAATGTAAATATACTGGAAGCAGTTTAGAGGCTTACTAGACTAATCCCTGGAATGGGCCAGTTGAGAGGCAACTTGATTGAAACACAAGATTCTGAGGTGTCTTGACAAGGTGGATATAGAAAGGTTGTTTCCACCTGTGGGAGAATCTCGAACCGAGGGGGGGCTCTGTTTTAAAATAAGTGATCATCCATTTAAGATAGGATAGGAACAGGACTTATTTTTTCCTCCCACAGAAGGTAGAGTGTCCTGGGAAGTCTATTCATCGAAAAGGTGGTGGAAGCAAAATCTGAATATTTCTAAGGCTGATGTAGATAAAATACTGCTAAACAAAGAGATGAAAGGTTCTCAGGGTTAGGTGGGACTTTGAAGTAATCAGATTGGCTACAATCTTATTCAATAGCAGATCAGGGTTGAGTGGGCTACTTGGGCTCCCATTTCTTATGCTCATAGAAGTTCAGAAAGGACAACAGAACAATTGTTAAATACCTCTATCGCTGAAGGTGAGCCGAGGTAAGGTTTTCACCCATTAGTCTATTTGTGAATAATACACAATAAAAACTAAAATCAACAGGTTTTAAAGAAACCTGGAACACAGATAGGGAATGGCCCTAAGATGTAAATAAATCCACACCTCTACTATCACTGTAACCACTTATATTAACACTCTAGAATACACACCATTTGGTCCTGGGAACTTGTTAGCCTTTAGGTCTAATGGTTTTCCCTATACTATTTCCCTGGCAACAGTGATTGTTTTAAAATCCTTCCTCCCTTTCACTTCTTAATTTCAAATACCTTGGGCAAGTTTTTCAAGTCTCCCATAGTGAAGACAGAGAAAATACCCCTCAAAGTCCTCACTATTTCTTGTTTAGCATTACTAATTCCCCAGACTTCCTGCACAAAAAACTAACACTAGCTTTAGTCATGCTTTTCCCATTCAAGTATTTGCAGAACCTCTTACTTGGATAAACTGACTTTAAGCTGCGAGAGCTGTTTTATTTTTAATGTTGTCGATGTTTTTCGAGTGATGCAGATCACCTCAGCAGATGTGGGATATTTGTCACAGCTGTCAAAATGTGGGCAGCGTTTTCAAAGCAGGTTATCAACTGTGGATTGGGTTCCTCAGCAAGATTGATGTTATCAATTAAAAAAAGACTCAGCCTTGCAGTTTCAGAGCATCAATCAGGCAGGCAAAAGCTTCAAGAAGGAGCTGCATGACTGTAAAAAAGTTAACACAACCTTGCACTAGACTGAGTTCCCTTAGTTTTAAAACAGCGATTGACAGAATTTTGTTGGCCAAAAATATTAAGGCATAATAGGTAGGCATGTGGAGTTACATTTCAGATCTGCCATGATTTGATTGAATGGCAGAACATGTTAAAGGAACTGAATAGCCTTATCCTGTTTCTATGTTACACCCTTATACCTTTGCTCAACAAAAAAAAAACAGATCCCTCACAAACCGTCTTAGCTGGCAGGCTACTGGGGGTGGGGAGATGGAGGAGCAGAGATCATAATAATCAAACACTTGGCTATAAAGATGATAGCAATGAGTATTGCTTTTCCAGAAAACAAATACCTCACTTGATATATAAACCATGTCATTTGTATGTGGAGTATGGCATGTCCTACTTATCGTAAACTGGAGAGAAGAGAAAAAGACCATATTGATTTTAAGTTTTGCTCTCACACCGAAAGCCTGTATAGATTATCCAGGCAAAAGACGACCTTTTGGCAAGGAAAGCCTATTCCTTTCACAATAGGCAGTCACGCTCAAGGAGTAAACTTCAGGCAATGTAGCACAGAGAATTTGATTTATTTTTCCTCAATAATTTATAAAAACAAATTATTTTCCCATCTTCAATGGGGGAACTGGAGGGATGGAGGAATCATAAGCATGTTGTTTCAGCAACAGAAGAGAATGGAAGTCAACTTATTGCATTGAAGTTTGCAGAATACCTCCCAGTTTCACTCGAGAAATCTCTGAAAGGACTACCGGATGTCAAAGTAATGGTCACAGTTTGGTGCCACTGTATGGTTAAATACTGTACTGCAGGCTAGGAGAAAATTTAGAAAAAGTACTAATGGGATCAACAACGTGTTTTGATAAAGCAACTGCAATATAATGTTCTCCAATGTACTTTAGATTTGTTATGGAATAAAATTTGATGCTTGGGTATATTTTAATGAACGTTTTTAATGAGAAAAGAAGACTAGGAAGGGATTTCTAGAGCTTAGGTCCTTGGCAGCTAAAAGGATGGTTGTCAACTCTGGAGTGAAGAAAAATTGGGAATTCAACAATGGTTTTACAAGACTTTGTGAAGTTGCCTTGACTTTTACTGGTCAGGGCTTCATTTATTACCGTAGTAGGTTCGTTCAGTTTTGAAAGTTTGTCCTTACCAGCAAGAGACCCAGCAATTCCAGCGTAATATTGAACAGCCTGCCATGCTACGTCCACATCAACTCTTGACTCAGTAATGGGCTTTCCAGTATTAATGGATTCTACAATTGCAATATCTTCTCTCTGTTCCTATGTTGGAATAAGCCAAATAGTTTAGTTTAGTGCTTTGTACAACTGTTCACAGGACAAGAGAAATTTTCTTTCACTTGATATATTGATGCTAACGTACCCCACTCAAACAATCACCGCAGAAGCTAGAAAGTACCCAGTCTCCTTTAGTCCTTAAATGCCTCCCCACCATTTTGTTTCGAGGGCCCTGGAGTGTGTCCTTTAGTATTTCCATTCACACCCCTTCCCCGTCCAAACCATTTTTATAAGGTTCCCTTACAGTCACCTGCAACAATATCAGGCTCCATACTCAACAGATCGTTCTCTAACATTTCTGCTACTTCCCATGCAATGTCACCAAACATTTTTACACCTGAAGAAGAGTCAGACTTGAAATGTTGACTCTGTTTCCTTCCCGCAAATGCTGCCAGACCTGCTGAGTTTCTCCAGTTATTTCTGTTTTTTTGTTTCAGATGTCCAGTATCCACAGCTCTTGGTTTAATTTCTGTCTCTTCCCTCTCTCCTTTTGACATGCTGAAGGCTTCGTTCCCTCTCCCTTAATCTAGGGTTTAAAAGCACTTTTAAAGACAGAGATGAGGGAAGTGGTTTTCTCTTGGAGGAGGTTGTTAGCATGGGGAATTCTCCTCCCCAGAAGGCAATGATGGCTGGGTCTTTAAATACATTCAAGGCAGAGGTACACAGATTTTGTACTGACAAGAGATTTTAGGGTTAATTGGCGGGGGTGGGGGGGGGAAATGCAGACAGGAAAGTGGAGCACAGACCAACACCAGATCAAGCTACAATCTTACTGAATGGTGCAGCAGGCTCAAAAAGGGCCAAATGGCCTATTATTACTCCTAGATCCTTTTCCTATTGTATTCAGTGCTCAGCATGCAACTACTTCTACACTGGGAGACCAAACTGTAGATAGGTCAACGGGTTTGCACTATACTTCTCTTCAGTCTGCAAGCATGGCCATCATCATTTCCCTCCCCCTTCACCCTTAAATTTCTCGGCATCTAGTATTTGGGATCGTTGACCTGCTCCCACTCTGAGCTTTCTGTTCTTTACCTCCAGAAGTGAATGGAATGCATGTTCAAGAATCCACCCCTCATCCTTCAACTCAGCATTCTACCATCATCTGGATGCAACCTTTAAATTCAACAACTTTACACTGCGATCATTTCTTTTTGTAAGTTTTGGATTTGCACTCATTGTTGTTCTTCGATGGCAAGTGTTCATGTTCTTGCCATTCACACCTCCTCCAGACTAATCTTTTATTTCTTTTGTCTCATTTCCAGTCCCTTTGGCATTGCATTACGAAACTACGTCAAGCTTCGTTTTAACCAGCACCCTTGATAAACCGGCAAAAATGATATACCTCAAATACCATGAAGTTTACTGTACTATTGCAATCTCCATGTGAGAAAGCTCTCTGCTGGTAATTTTTATTTAAGACAAAATTGCATTGTTAAGTTATATATACTGTAAATAAAGTATAACAGTATTGCGAATACCCCCTGCATTACGTTTCTCGACTTAGTGTGTGTATTTTTACATGGATTATGTGGATCAACTGGAATACTTGATTAACAGCACACTCCTGGTCCCATAGGTGCCAGTTAATAAAAGGTTTGCTGCATTTTGTCATTTAATTTTTCCTGCCTTTCCCCTCACTCAGAGTTTCACATTGGTCCACTTCCCCATCCTCTCCTCCTTCACTTGGCAACTTTCTTACCTTTCCCAGTTCTGATGAAAAGTCTTTGTTAACTTTGCATTTCTTTCCAGGAATGCAGCCAGCAAGTTCACCACTGACTTTCTCAGAGATAGTAAGAACTGCCAATGCTCGAGTCAGAGATAACACAGTGTGGAGCTGGAGAAACACAGCAGGCCAGGCAGCATCAGAGGAGCAGGAAAGCTGACGTTTTGGGTTGGGACCTTTCTTCAGAAATGGGGGAGTGGGAAGGGAGCTCAGAAATAAAGAGAGGGAAGGGAGGGTGGGACTGGGGAAAGTAGGTGGGATGATGATAGGTGAGTGTAGGTAGGCAGTGGTGGGGATTGGTCAATCAGATGGGAGGAGCGGATATGTGGGAGGGAAGATGGACAGGTTGTGTCAGGTCAAGGAGGCGGGGATGAGAGGGAGGGTTGGTCATAGGATGAGGCCAGGGATGGGGAGATTTTGAAACTGGTAAAGTTGGCTTTCTTTTGTTTTCAATATATTCACAAGCTGTGGACCTGTTACCTTTAATTACCCCCAAAAAATACTTACATCTTTAATCTGGTAACACCAAGCACGTGAGGCCATTTCAGAGGGCAGCTAAGAATTAATTACATTGCTGTGACTCTGAAATCAGATCAGGTAAAGCTGTCAGATTTCCTTCCCTGGAGAATATCAGTAAACCAGATGGAATTTTAGAATAATTCTGTATCTCATTGTCACCAATACTGACACTAGCTTTTCAATCCAGATTCTAGTTTACTGGAATTTAAATTCTCCAGTTCTCATGATGAGATGTTTCCAGCTAATGGTTTATGGATCATAGTCCAGGAACGGAAGTACTAGGCTATCATATACAAAAAGTGCCTGTAACAGAGCTTCATCTAAGAGTTCAAAAATACTCACACAGACAAACTAGGGAAAAATGTGCATTTATAGACTGCTTTTTAATGCCCCCAGAATGCATAAGGCACTCCACAGCCAAGAAAGTACTTGTTTAGAAATGCAGTCACTGCTACAATGTGGGAAAACTCAGCCAGCATAATGTACACAGCAAGATTCTGTAAACAGCGACAAAATAATGACCAGATAGTTAAACAAAGGAGCGGAGGAATAACTATTGGCCAGAACACCAAGAGAGAACTATCGGGCTTCCTTTTTAAAAGGAGCATGTGCACCGTTTTATGTCAGAGTCACAAATCAGCAGCACAGATAAACATTCTTTATGCTCTGAGCCCCTCACATTGCCTGCAGTATCAGAAGAAAGTCGGGATCACAGTAAGTCTCTCCATAAAAAGCCAAAATACTGGAAATGCGAGACATCCATGGTATCCGAGCAATAGCTGGAAACACATAGACGGACAAACCACATCCACAGGGAGAAAAGACAGTCAATGTTTCAGGCAGTTCATAGAATCATATAACCCTTAACAGTGTGGAAACAGGCCCTTCGGCCCATTGAATCCACGTCGGCCCTCCGTGAAGCATGTTACCCAGACCCACCCTATCCCTGGATTTCTCACGACCAATCCACCTAGCCTGCACATCTTTGGAGTGCGGGAGGAAACAAGAGCACCTGGAGGAAACCCACGCAGACACAGGAAGAACGTGCAAATGCTGAGTTACACCAACCTATTGCTTCTCTCCATGATCCTGAACGGTCGCCCATGAGACTCCAATTTGGTTTTGGTTCCGACACCGGAAGTAATAAAAATGAGCCAATCTTCTGACTGTCAGATTATCAAACCCTGCAATAACCTTTGCTAAACTGTTCTGCCCTTTGGGCAAGGCGTGTGGCAAGGGTGGAATTTAGATTTCAAACAAATGACAAATAGTTGAGGAAATGGCAGTTGAAGTCAGTCACTGGAAACATGGTAACTTTACAAATGACACTTCAGTCAAGGACAACTGCATGATAATGCCTCAGCAATACTGGCATGGCAGTAGGAAATTTAAATGGCACAGGAAGACAAATCAAGGAATACATCAGTGATGGCACAAAATGGTAAAGAAAAAAGAAAGCTCAAATTCATTAGAATCCCTACAGTGTGGAAACAGGCCCTTCGGCCCAACAAGTCCACACCGAACCTCAGAGCATCCCACCCAGACCCATTCCCCTATAACCCAACTAACCTACACATCCCTGAACACTACGGCGGGCAATTTAGCATGGCCAATCCACCTAGCCTGCAATCTTTGGACTGTGGGAGAAAACCCACGCAGACATGAGGAGAATGTGCGAACTTCACACAGGACAGTTGCCCGAGGGTGGAATCGAACCCAGGTCTCTAGCGCTGTGAGGCAGCAGTGCTAACCACTGTGCCACCGTGCCGCCCCTCCATTCTTCCACCAAAACATTTCTGTAACCATGGTTACCATGCTTGGAAACAAGAGGGATGCACGGTAAAAAAAAAGCCTTCACTTAGAACACCACTGAGTATAGCCAGAAGGTCAAACTCAAAGACGTTAAGTGAGGTCGTTTGTATTCATTTGTAAATTTCTTCCCCTATCCGAAGGATTAATTTCCTTCAATCCTTGAAATCTTTACATACCAGTCCCCCAGCTATGAAGACTCAGAGATCATTTATTCCCACGCAGCAACAGCGAGGCTGCCAGAAACTTACTGCTCGACACAGCAGCTGGTGGGAACCACGGCCGGACCAAAGCGGCCTTTGGAAACAAGCACAACAGCGGGACTGTCGGACTGTGAAGCTGGTCGGATTAAAAACAAAAACCACAGATGGGAGCCCATGCCGTAGCGCTCGCCTGCCGAGGTGCTGCGCTCACCGCCTCTCCAATCTGAAGGGGCGACCCAGCTTCCCCTCTCTTCTCAGGGTCTCAGCGTTTGACCAATTGGCCACATGCCCTCAATCAACTCAGTCATTCGGTGGCTCTGCTCCTAATCGCAGCAAGTACTAGCCCGTTTGTGGATTTTGCACAGTGCCAGAATGGAGTTCAGCTAAAACACACTGGGCAGCAAACTATCCTAAAAAGGAAGGAACAAAGGAGTAGGCCATTCAGCCCCTTTTTACCAGCCTGTTCCACCATTTAATGAGATCATGGCTGATCTGTGGTGCGACTCCATATAACTGACTTTGGTCTATATCTCTTAATTCCTTTGCTGAAAACATTATCCATCCCAGATTTAAAACTAATAAATGATCCAGCATCCATTGCTGACTGTGGAAGAGAGTTCCAAACATCTAGCACTCTGTGAAGAAGTGCTTCCAAGCATCTCTTCTGAATGGTCTGGCCCTAATTTTTAGACTGTGTCCCCTAGTTCTAAAATGCCCAACCAGTGAAAATAGTTTATATTTATCTACCCTGTCTTTTTCTGCTAATATCGTGAAGACTTCAAACAGATCACTCCTGAACCTTCTAAATTCCACAGAAAACAGGCAAAAGGTAGAGTCATACAGCACAGAAACAGACCTTTCGGTCCAACAAGTCCATTCTGAGCATAATCCCAAACCAAACTAGTCCCGCCTGCCTGCACTCAGCCCATATTCCTCCAAACATATTTATCTAAACGCCTTTTAAACTATTGTAACTGTATCTGCATCCACGTATAATCTCTCCTCGTAACTTAACTCCGGAAGTCCAAGCATCATTCTTGCAAACCTACATTGTATTCTCTCCAAGTCTAATCTATCCTTGCTAAAGTGTGACACCCAGATCTGCTCACGATACTCCAAGTGGGGTCTAACCAGGATTTTATATAACCACAGCATAACAACACATTATCCTCGGAAGTATGGTATCAGAAGAATGTCCAGCTGGGGCTCCTGGGAAAAGAATAATCAGGAGCAGAACAAAGTACTAAATCTAGTATAAGCTCACCACCTCCCTATTCCTTCTCAGCTGTTTACATTTTAATTTCATAACAATATTCTGATTATGAATCTACAAAATGTTTCATCCTAAGGATTAGCTTGCTTTTGTGCACTTTTCTGCCCTCAAGTTTGTCCCCTCACCAGGAGGGAGAAGGACTTTAGCTTAACTTATTTTGTTTCTGTGTATAAAACTGCTCGTCACAAATTAAATTGCAAACTATACAATTCAGAATTGGATTTCAATTTGGCCACAACAAATGCACAGTAGCAAATGCAACAATCAGGATTTGTGCTAATGGCTGAGTGAGAGAAGATATTGTGCAGTGTAGCACTGAGCCACATACTAAAGCAGGGTCCTGGTCTCAATCTCCCATTCTGTTCTGAGTCAGCCGATTATAGTCAGGCCTGCAGTGAGACGTGAATACTGTAGTGTGGTCATCATTTTATTGGGTCACTAAATTGGAGTCCTGGAAATGGGAATTCATGAATGGGAGTTCAAACCCCATCTTGGAACTTAATAAAAAAAAAATCTGGAAATTAAAGTGATGGCATCAGTAAAACAAGAACAAAAGAAAACCATATTGGCTTCCTGCTTTTTTTAAAAAAAAAAGGCCAAACTTATTTGGGAAGAGGAAAACCAACCATCCTTATGTGGTTTGGCCTATATGCGACTTTAGTCAGCATTCTTATCTGCCTTCCACACATCTTCTATGCTACTGGTGTTTCATGTAGATCAGCACAAGCTTCACTAACAACCGGGAGCTTTATCTCGCTGCTCAATGGCCTATATCAATTCCCAAACCTAGTGTTCCTCTCTCTTTCTCTATAAACTTATCCATCGCAACACAATCCCTTCCGCCATCTCAGAAATCCCTTTTCCTCTGATTCTGGCCTCTTGGGTTTCACCAAGTTTACGCCCCCACCCACTCTACCGTCAGTTAGTTCTAAGAAACAAAGGCTGGCATCTAACGTCTTGTCATTTCAAAAACTTGCATTTAAGTAGCACTTTTAACTCCATAAGTCTCTCAATTCCCTTGCTAAACTTCTCCACAAGTCTCCTTCTTTATGATGCTCCTTAAAAATTTACCTCTTCAACCAATCTTCGGGGCATCTGCCCCAGTGGCTGCTGATGTGGCGTGCTGTCAAAGTTTGTTTGATATCGCACCTGTGAAACACCTTGGGATTTTTTTACTACAAACACACTAGATGAATAAAAGCTGTTGTCGTTGAATGGGCAATAAACAACAGGGCCCCCTACTGGCCTGGTGCACAAGTGCACAGCCTAGTGTGACACAGAAGCACATCAGCTTGAATGTTCCCGATTTGGATGGAGCTGGCTAATCTTCTTGTAGGCGAGTAGGGGAAACCAAAAATTCCCTACAAAAATGTTCCCACTCTGGAAATTGCATACGTGCAGCTAGAGGGGATAAAAGTAATATCGATCTTCAACACTCAGTAGTTCAACGTTACTTAAAGATAATAGTTGAGATCCAAACGAGTGACAACTTCATTCATCGACTTCACCATCTGATTCAGTAAATCGCAAGGCCCTGGATTCCACTCCAAAAGATGTGTACACCTAAGAAACTTCAGCACAAATCTGTGTTTCTGCTGTTTCTTTTAATTCATTCGTAGGATGAGGGTGTCACTAGTTAGGCTGGCCTATCTCCAACTGCCCAGAGAAGAGATGACAGTCAACCTCATTGCTGTAGGTCTGGAGTCACATGTACGTTAGGCCACGCGACAGTGGAGGAT